AAGCGGAATTAGGAAATAATGGATTTGAAAAGCATATAAATGTAATTTTGCAAAATTAAAGCATAATCACCTTTAAAAATATTTAATTTAATTATTCTTTTCAGCTTTTCGCATAATATTAATGAGGGTTTTGCAATAATGATCAAATCTTGGTATTAAATAAATTAGTGTTCTGTGCAATTATATTTCAATTCAGAAAAACAATGAATTTATTTTTTCTCCATGTTCATATTAATCTCTGCTTATTTTTGTAGAATAAGACATCAATCTTTAAAAGAATCTTGTTTATGAAGACTAAATAATGTGAGTGTTTAGAATTTAGAAGTGCTAAATCATGCCCAAAACATCCATGAATGCAGGCACATGAGAAGTGTGAGAATTTACAGTGGACTAAGCTTATGGCTGAGGATGTTCAACTGGCATGGTCATTGCATTTCCAGTAACATCAATTTTTAAAAAAAGAAGTCTCCTTAAGAGAATATGAAGACATTCAAAATACACTAGAACAAGAAAATTGTTGTTTAATCTGAGCAATCGCTGGTACACAAAGTTTCAGCAAATATGAAGCTAACATGAATTCTTGTAAGAGCTTGGGGAATTAACATTTCTATCTTTTATTGCGCATTGTTTGCATTGTTGTCTTCAAACAAATATATAATTTTATTTCTGTTTAAACCTGTAATTTAAAACATTTCACATAAAGCTGAAGTTGCAAATGCATTTTTAATATTTTGTGTTTCTTCTAAAGTAGATATTTTTATCAGAAGATGCAATTTGTAAATCATTAAGGTTTTTTGACTTGAGCCATAAACACCTATTGCAAAAGAATACGCTTTGAGTCCAAATAGGAAATTCTATATACAAGCACACAAAAAAAAGTTGTTAGAACCACTGACTTGACACATGTTTCTCTAGGTGTTTCAACGCTGAATCTGCTGATGCCAGAATTGCAACACACACTCTCTAGTTCTGTTTTTTTAAATTCATGAAAAACCATCACTGGGTTCAGATTGGATTCAGCATGTCGACATACATAAGGAAACATGTGAGGGGAATTATAAGTTTCAATCAAACATCAAGAATTTTTTATACAAAATTCGGTTTATGATCTTCTTGCAGCCTGTGTTATATTCTATTAATCCTAATAATTTATGAATGTCTAGAACTTTCATGTAACCTTCTGTGAACTTAAAATTGACATATACATGTGTCAGGGTGTGGGACTGAATTACTTCACATAGCTGTAACTGTCAATTTTCTATATAATGGTTTTTATAAAATCTTTGTGTATTTGATGGTGATCAGATTAATATTATCTCTTTTTGAATTTACATTAGTTGTTCGCAAAGAGCTCGAAGGAGATGGGCTTTTCCACTCTAGAGCAAATATACGTTGTACATGTATGATAAAAGTTGGGGAAAATTTGGAAACATGTGAATTTAGTTGCATTATGCTTGACAGAATGTCTTTCCTAGTTTAGTAGCGGCAGCATAAGAAGTGACCAGATTATTACTGATGAAAATTGTCTTTCTTATGTTTTTGGGAGGCTCTAGTTATCACTTAGCAAAATGTGTGTATTAGTGGGCAGATACTGTAATATTAATAAGCTTTGGCTTTTAAGCTAACCAAATCATAAAATCTTCAATTCTTTATCAGGAAAACACACACACACACACAAAACAGGAGTGGGGAAACAAGAGAGAGCTATGAGAGAACTATACACAATATTTCATACCAACGAGATAAGAGTAAAAATGTGGCAAAACAATCTTAAAACATGCTATAAAACCAAAATAGATGCTACAAGCGCGAAAATATGCACAAAAAATATTGAAGAAGATAGAAGAAAATAATGCACAATGTTTGCTTACCCGGCATCTTCATCTTCTTTCTTCACCTTAGAAGTTGATGGTTCAACCTTATCAAATAATCTCTTTCCTTGAGAAACAAATTTGTACTTTGCCCTGCAAGTAATATCCTCAATTATAAATAGAAAAATAATAATCAATTTGTTCATTAATAAAAATATGCTATTTGGTCACATCAATAATTTCAGAACTATATTAATATTTCTTCTAACATCAAACAGCAGGTTTTCCTTCAATTTCTAGACCATAATAATCAATCTTATTTTATCAACCATCATAATTTCAATCACAAATTTATTAAATAATCACCTACGTTCATTCTATCTATATAAAAATGATTCTTCCATAAATAAGATCAATATGACAATAGAAAATAATAACTTAAATGAACTTTACAACTACCCAAATTTCCTTCTAACAATTACAATTATTACCTCATAATCACATTAATTATTATTGTGAAAATTAATTCCTTTTAAGAAGGACCCTTACAACATTCAAATTAATAAACTAATGAAGAAACCCTGATGAACAAATCACCCATTATTTAAAATTATTAATAATTCACAAATTGATTTACCAACACCATCTAATATTTCAACATGATAAAACTTCGGATCTCTATTAGGATTATGTTTAATTATTCAAACTATTACAAGAATATTTCAATTACATTTACTTACAAAAAGTCATATTCGTCAGCTAGTTCCCTAGGAACTTTGAAAGGCTTCCGTTTTGGCTCTTCAACTGTATTTAAACATTTGGTCCATTCAGTGAGGTCACCCTGGCACTGATATCCAACACCAGAACGGAAAGTGAATTGCCCATCCTTACACTGCTCACAAGGTTGAAGAGCTCCAAAAGTCATGATATCCGAGAGTCGATCCAACATCTATAATGTAATAAAAAACAAAGATCTAAGAACTTAAAGTTTAAGAAATAGAAGTACAAACGTTTCTGGATAAAAAGAAAAAGCAAGTTAATATAAGTATATAAAAATGATGGCAACTGCCTAACACACCCGCTCCTCCCCTGATGGAATCTCTTGATTATTATGCTCCAGAAGCAAGCTTAACTCCTTTTTACTTAAATGTTTCTTTAAATTGTCCCGGAACTTAAACATCAATTTATTTTGCTTTTTCCGTTTTTCAACATCAGGGTCTTCCTTTGCTTTTTTCGGCTCACTTGGGCCATCTGCTTCATCAGTTTCCTCCTTCTTGATTGGTTGTCTATAGCACAAGAAGATATTTAATAAAAAAAGACAATTCATATATTCACTCATCCAATACTTCGATTCTATCAGACATGTACATTTACTTAAGATTCAATAAGAGCTCAAATTCCTACATGTATTTGATCTATCCTAAGGAAATGTTGATAGCTGACAGAAGATCCTAATTAGCAGAGGCTTGGAAATTCTCCACTAGTTTTCTAGTGTAGTTTGTTTGGTTTCATTGTCAGGATCTTACAATGACAACAAAACAGTACTCTTAGATTGAATTTAAAACATTAGCTTGTGAAATAAGAAAATGTATATTCTATTTTTCAATAATTAGTGGATATTTATTTCTTTACTTACATTTTTAAAATGCTATGTACAATCTAAGATCACATATCTGAAATATTTTCAAAAGCAATGAATCTACTATTTTATTTAAACATAATAGAAAGTAGCAGTTAACATCTACTACATTAATTCACATTATTTTCAAGTTATTTGGGTGAACTAGGCATAACAAAAATCAAATTGAAAACTATTTCTATTTCATCCAACAAATTAATTACAGTAATGTATAATTATATTTTAAATGTTTTCAATATCTACTTTAGAAACTTAAAATGTATTTACGAAGTTTACAGATTTGGTATTTAGCTATCCAATTTTAAAAACAACACATTTGTAATAAAATTCTAACAGTGGCTTTGAAGAGATTTATTGCAAGAACATACATTCTAGTGATCTGCTGGTTATGAGCAGATTTCAGCATTCACTAGTTCATAAATTACCTTCTTCCATAACATAAGATACCAGACATGGAATTCACTTCATAGTGTGCCATTTACGTGTTGTTTTGTTTTAGCTTTAGCTTCCAGTTTCATGTGCATATTTTGAGTTTTGTAGAAACCAAAATGCAATTTAAAGCAGTTATCAGCAGCTGTCTTAATGGAACTAACTGCTGTTGCCTGGGTGGCGAGTCAAAACCTTATTCCGTAAAAAAATGTAGTGCCCTTTCTGTTTGATGTGACTCAAAGCAAACAATTTCTACAAAATAGTTTAATGTCAGAAAACCAACATGGGAAGTCATGGAGGACTTCAGAAGGACCGCCATGTTGGACACTATTTTTTCTCCCCTATTCAGTCAACCGGGGTCCATTGGACACAAGCAGAATTTTCAATATTTTATGTGAAAACTATAGGATAGTTTTTTGTGCCTTTGTTTGCTACGGTGTTTTTAAATGTTCCCCAATAATTTTACGAAAGCATTACTGAATAATAAATAAAAAAATCTTTTTTTTTTCAGCCGCAACAAAGAAAGGATCCTTTGGATCCAGGTGTCTTATTCTGCATGTAAGAATGCATTTCCAGACTTGCTTGGTTGATTACTTGACGACTACTTCGTGAGTAAAGGACAGACGGATGTTGGGTTGCACAGCATCTTTTCAATGGTTATCTTGCACTATGTTTAAGCGATTCTAAGCTCGATGCATACGTACGCAGTGTTGCAACTTCTGTAATACATATGTATAAATATATCTTATACTTTACTTCATACACCTCCATACTTAGATCCTTTTGATTTTAGTAAGGTTGATAATGTTGCGAGAAAGGGTGCCTTAAAAACAATGAACATCACGCTCTGCACATAACCAATAGATCACTACTATCCCTAAATGTTTTAATTACTTTGAAAGAACCTACATTTTTGGAAGTTTACTCTCTACCATCTTCTGATCATCTTTAGTGAGAGTCTTGAAACCTGGCAATGCTGAACCAGATTCCCAATATTCCAATGTAGCCCTCAACTTACTAAAGCAGTCAACATGATGCCACAAATCTTGACCACCATAACGTTTACCAATATCAGATTCATAATCTTTTTTAGATACACGTACTTCTTCCTATACAGCAAACAAATGAAATAGACAATATTTCAACTCAAACATAACCCATGGCAAAACAAACCTTGATGTGAATAATGATTATGAACGGAAACTTCACAAAAGATATTCACTAAAATGGCAGAAAGAACACAGAATATCAAACATCAATATAAATAGTAATAAACCTTACTATCTACCAAACTTTAACATTTTAAACAGCATAAGCAATTTTAATAACAAATGCTTAGCAATTTACTTATTTGAATTTCCGTCCATTAGTAATTGGCTTAACATCCAATTTTAGAAATCAAATCTAGACTGTTCTACATGACTTTTGTTTAAGAACACAGGGTTCAAATACAGTCTCAATTTTATTGCAAAACATGCAGGAAATAATAAAAATAAATAAAAGAACCCTCAGCAAAAAAATTAAAAAAAAAAACACACACACACACACTTTAGTAAACTAACAAATCAAATGAATTTCAGACCAACTGGGAAAATTTTAACTTGCCTTCATTATCTTTTGCTCACACCCTCTGCATGTGGCTCTTGAAGATTTAGAATATTCAATAGAAAAGTCTGCAATGCCTCCTGGTCCTGCACGTTTTTTGCCCTTTCCTTTGCCCTTTGCAGGCTCAGCAGGCAATGAAGCAACACTCTCTTTATAGGCATCAAAAAATAAAAATAAATGAAGTTAAGTAAAGTATTGCAATAAAAGAAAGAAAATAAAAACTAATCTATTCATTATATTCTATCATATCCTATCTATCTATCACCCCCCCACAATTATTGAAGTTGCATTGACATCTGAGGTGATATTCCATTTTCTTTGAAATACAGTAAATAAAAATAAACAACATACATTGAAGAGAAGAAATCTGTTTATTAGCATTTTTGTTTCTTCAATAATAATATAATTTTGGCTAAATTCAAATGAATCACACTTTATTTAACTTCATATGCAAATCCCTAGCGAATACTCTCTTAGAATATAAAATCATAAATTTAAAGCAAATAAGTCCAAATGATGGAACATTTACAGACTATGAGTTTTGCTACATAAATCAAAAGGTGTCTAATGTTGGCAATTGACATTTTAAAGTAGCCCTAGTATTATACTTGATGTGTATTCAAATGCATACCTATTTTCTTTTTAATTTTCTCCTGGTCTTCCCATCGTAGGGATTCAAAATGTGCAATGTCACCGGTTGTTTTTGGCCTTTGTTTGCCAAAAAAGCACATAAAGTGATACCAATGGGGAACCTTGCCATCAAACATCGGCGACTGTAATGTACCAGATTATTTACATTATCATAAAACATAGTAAGTGATGCGACATTCCTATTGCATCACACAATAAATTGTAACACTGTAGTAAAAAAAAATAATAAATCCTTAAAAATGTTAATGACACCTACCTGCACTAGAACTGCAAGACGAAGAGTTTCTTTGGCAATTTGATTTTTGCATCCTCTACATGAAGCACGACCACTTTTAGAATATTCAGCCCGGTAAGGCAAGTCGTCTGCATTTTCAGACATTTTGACAGTACAATTCACAAATCACGTGAACAATTTCGCTCGTTTTTGCTGGCCCTCTCCCACGCAGCACATGCACAGACCCGCACAAACAAGACAATAACACAATACACCGGCATACGGTTCGCCGCGCACGTCGGAAACGGAATGCAGAGTGGCGCGAATACCAGCTCAAACGCGGGAAAAGTTCGTTCGTGAACGTGTCACGTTTCTGAAAGAACGGTTCATTTACCGGGGGCGCCAACTTCTATTTGAAAACTTTGATCACGTCGACCATCACCGACTAAAAGATGACTAAAAATTTAGGGGATCCCGAACTTAGGCACTCAGAGCAAAATTTGAATGTGTAGAAAATGGAGATAAGCGCTTCATGAAGGGGTTTGGTAAAGTTCATAAATGACTAGAATCGGATCTAGAAGGGAAGGAAAGACATTTCATCTAGTCCTTATACATATTTTTGAAATAATAAAACATGTCTGAAAAATGTAAATATTATTAAAATATTTCTTTGGATAAGTTGTGATGAATAAAGTTGGTATTCGAAAGTACAACGGTATGCGTATCGAGCTGTTGTGTCCAAGTCTCCGGGTTCAAGACCGATCGACCTCGACGAAGGAAGAAAAAGTATCCTTCGTACGCCTTCCTTCAGAGGGAAGTAAAGCCAGCTGCTCCATGTTGTAGATTTACTGCATGTAAACTAATCTTAAGCCTAAAAGAAGTATCTGGGCTAAATTCAAATGGCCTATTTCGTCGCTGGAGTTCTTTCACCCAGAATTCTTTCTCCGCTAGATGGTGAAATCAGACGGAAGTACCGGCCTGCTAGTCCGAGTCTCACCACGTAAAATTAAGCTGGATATGATAGCTTTTTTGAATAAATTGAGTAAAATTACAGATAAATAAAATTTTCAGGGAGAGTGCAGTCATGTACTCTGGATCCGCCAGTGATAAATGAAGAACTAACCTGAAGGTTATATAGTAAGGAATACGCAATATACTTCTTTGAAATGTGATATCCCTCTCCCCTCTACGCCAACCACCTCCCCTTCTCCTCCTCCCCTCCCAGCAAAAGTGTATTAGAATGTTCAAAAAGATCTCATCCTGTAGATTACTGTGTGAGAAATGTTTCTTTGAGGCCATTTCCCTCAAAATTGTCGTTTTTAATGCCCTAGAACACTTTGTTTAGAAGTTATTTAACAATACAAATTCAAAAACTCCTTCCGAGTGTGTTGCGGATTGTATTTGACATGGATATTTAGTTTTGTTCTACAGCGTAAAATTCTGCAAGATACTATACAGATAAATACCATCTTTGAAGCGGGTTGTATATTGTGTTAAAATTTGAGTGCAGAACTTTTTGAGTTTTTGAAGCATTCACAAACCACAATAACATTTATATACAGTATATGTAGATGGTTCGTCAATGGGAAGTAGGGCGTAACAATATTTCAAACATTTAGAATGTATTTGTATTGTCATAATTTAAATTAATTTATAGGAGAAATACTTCAATAACACGTTAAAACATAGACCTACTATTCACTACACTAGTTAGTGCTAGATGAAAACTTATATTTGTACAAGACAGACGTTATTGCTTGCATAGGGAGTTGGAAATTTTTGCTAAATAAATTCCCTTTTTCAGCAAGATTCAGCAAGTTAGATATTGTCCACTGCTCCTGAAAATGCATTTGTCACCGAGGGATTTACAATATTAGAGCTGAGATGAAAAGAGTACATTGTAAAAGAATTCATTACTCATTCATAAAGCTACTCATATGACGTGTAATGGACAAAATGTATAAAGGCACAGGACCGAGATAGAGTTACGTTATATTCTGGGAGCGCGAAGATGCTCTTCACAGGAAACGTCCCCAGACGAGCGGAAGGAGTGACGTCATAGGTAATAATGGACAATCATAGATGTAAGGTTCTTATATACAGTTTATTTAGAACTTTATACACAATTTGGTACAGCTCGAAAATCTTCAACACAGGAGTCTAGATGCGCGCATCTCCAAGCTACAGCTCCGCTGGTGCAAGTACTCTACTCAAAGAGGAATGTTGTGAGGTTGCGTCACGCAAAATATTGGGGGTGAAGTATTGCGTCCAATTCGGCTCGTGTTGCCGTGCCGTGCTCATCCTCCTGGGCGACACCCAAGGCGGGAAGCATCTTCGCTCTCTCGTGCGACTAGACCAGCGGACCAGCCAAGGCAGGGGTGTCCCACTTGTAAGACCTCAAAAATGCATCTAAAACTTCTAATATGGTTGCGGGCCATATTTTCATTTTCGGACTACCCACACCTGACTTCTCCGTGTAGTTGATCTCGTACTTTGCCCGGATGCTCTGAAACAAGGAGGGGGAGGGGGAAGGAATGGAACCATGCGTAATATCAGGCCGATATATGCATGACGCAGTGAAACACACTGGGATGATTTTGAATTTCTGAATTTACTAAGGAACTAGTGATGCTACAACAGCCGTACATATTCGCGATATTGTTAATGACTATGTAATAATAATATGACAATTTATGTCTTACACTTCAACTACGATTTGAAAAATTCTTAAGCAAACAAAACGTGAAAATACATATTTTTTTTAAATGTTTTTTTCAAATGTTTAAACGAAAACACCTTTTGTCATTGAATTCACATTTTGTCATTCATTCTACATAAATGTACCAACGACAGACGATTCGTATTTTAGCCGTAAATAAAATTATTAGTTTATATTAACGCGAACGAAAGGCAGCCGTCATTATCACCTTCTGTTATAAGGGCGTCGTTACAACAACGGATTGTAACAAACAACAATGATCGCTAATTCGTATGGAATACAAATTTTGCCAATTAGCATTATTGACCGCTAACAAGAAAATGAAAATTGTTAGAAAAATTTAATTAAAATTAATTTTGTATATTAATCGCAATTACTCGGTTTTTACATGAATTACTCTTCATTCCCACATTTATTATGCAAAGCGAAATCATCTATTCGTTTTCACATTTAACTCAAAAGGCGCAATTTCTAATACTTGCGCCATTCTCTTAACGAGATCATTAGCGACCACTATTGATTTAATGTTAGGGGTATTTGTATATTGAATGAAGTGATATGGTGATGAGGAGGGGTGAAACACAAATGCAACCATCCTCGAGGAGGGACTCGATCCCGCGATCCTTCGGTCACGAGAGATCATCAGGCACTATTGCCTTTTCTATCTCGGCCACACGGATCAAAAATGCCTTAAATCTAAACCTAACCTATTTTTACATTAAGGAGATGTTGACCCTTGCACGTTCGCTAGGCGCACAGTGTTCTCGCCAGACATGGATGAAAGGGACTTTCACTTTTGACAAATAACCTTTCGCGGGCCACAAGAAATGGCATCGCGGGCCGCCAGTTGGACAACCCTGGCAACGTGCCATTTGCAACATGTAAGCGAGCGGACGTATCTCAATTGCAAACCCGCGGTCAACGTTTCCTAAGCCTTTTACCTACCTTCTCACAAAGGCATAGCCCGGTTGCATCCTGAGCGCAAGGAAGAGCTCGCCAAGGTATCTGTGTTTCCATGATCTCTTTGCCGTGTTCATGTTTAAAAACATGAAAGAGAAAAACAATAAATGCCCCTTTTAACGCTATTCATTTTGAATTATAGAAATATATAGGAATATAGAAATCCGTCAGCTGTGTTGCTGCGGATATTAAAAATTACCAAATTAAATATTTCTTTTAAAATCTCTCAATTGTTTCATTACGGATTAATAGGATTCTGAAACTTTGTTTAACATCTTGTAAGATCGTAAGGATCTCGACCATGAGAATCAGGCAATGCCTCCGTGCTAGGATACATCATACTAGTTATCTACCTATTTCATAAACATTGAACGTTTTGGCTAGTGTACGAATATAATCAAGATAATACTTACTGTTCCCTTCGTTAGTTTTCTCTGAAGTGCGGCATTTGGTTCTTAACGAAATATCAGACGGGTTATCATTGGGAGCTGAGGTCATTATCGAATAAAATTTAGGAAGCACAAACTGTGGATCTGTTGTAAGAATCCCCAAACCACGATGTACTTTTGCGCATACTATTTACGCAGTATGGAAAAAGATATGTATTGCTGTTGCGAAAAAAAAGCAATTTTTTGGGCAGAAAAAATCATGTAGTAGGTCCATAATTTCGAAAAAGTGAGTGAATTATTCTTGTTACTTTATTTGAAGCAAGTAATTACCTCGAACTCGATGTATATTCAGAATCCATATTTCGTTTCCTTATTTCCTGCAAAATATTAGTTAAGGTAAAATGTCTGTCTATGAATAAAGATAGTGGCTAGAACATAAGCAGGATTTTCATCGAAATAGATATCCCTAATCGATCTGGCTGATGCCATGGCCCTTCAATTTGAAACGTATATTTCGATTTTTTGGTCTGCTTTACACTATTCCCCGGAAACTATCTTTTTTTCTCAAAAATTGCTCAACATTTTTTATATTTTTTTTATGGGTTAGTGCAAAGTACGTTTATAAAATAGCGCAGATCCAATTTCGGTTAAATTCGGGGACAACTGCAGGTAATTGATCAAAAATACTGAATTGTTAATTCTTGGGGAAGACGTTTTTGACATTTGGGCACGGGTAGTTTTATTATTGCGTCTTCGTTCACATCTTTATAGTGTCTACGTACGTGCATGCTTTCATCCATATTTCTGACAAATAACTTCGCGATAAAGTTGGTAAATGCTGCTTCGCGAGCTTTTCACACTGAAGAGGAGGAGGAGAATTTCACGAACTGAAGAGGAAGTTGAAGTTCTCAGAAGCGGCTCTGCAGTGGTGCCGTTATACGAACCTGCATTGACGTCACGGATTGACAATAGAAACTGAGGACACGGCGTACAGGTACTTTCTAGTAGGAATTTTCAAAAAACTTCCTGGTTGTAAGAGGATTTTTGTTAATTTTTCTATTGGCATAAACAAACAAAATTAATAAACAAATACAGTGCTCCTGATACATTACTTTTTAGTGTTATATGACAGTTCATAGATGTTGGGAATATATCAAAAGTATATGTAATATGTTTACGGCCTAAGTGCAATTACAACCAAAACGTAGCCAATGAAATCGTGTCATGAATATTCACGGTTTAA